TAAAGTAAATTAAAATTTGCACTTAAGTTTTTTCGATTCGGTGATCGACATAACCTTGTACACATTTACGATGTGCGTTAGCATTAGTGATTGACTAATCTTAATTGTTGGCGAAATAAGACCTCAACTAAAAATAGTAAATGATTAATAGTACGTAATGATTTTGAAAAATTTGATCAGTTATGTCATTATTTGATTCCGATCCAATCATATTTGTAAAAGATAATCAGCTTACATTATATGAGGCGATTTATTTATCACATCAATCAATTCTGCAATAATTTTTATGATTTAATCATATGATTAATCATATGATTAATCATAATGATAAAAAGACGTGAAGTCCAGGGCAAAAAACCCATTCATTTCCCGAAATGCAGCTCATTGAAGTGTCTTTTTTGATACATTAAAATAATAGAAATAATTTGAATCAAGAACATTTTTTTGTCGTGCCAATTTATACTGCGGTATTTAAATTACCATATAATTTTAACAGCTAGGTAATTATTAATTGTGGCAGAATTGTCTTCTGAAACATACAGTATAAAAAATTGATTATTCACTGAAACAATTCAATTTGATATAAAGTACTTACGTACGTACGGTACGTGTATTCTAATTTAAATTACCTAAATTATATATAAATATATATAACTCAGTAATAATTACAGAATTAATTTAATCCCAGCTTCGATGATGATCTCACTATTTAGTTTTGATCGAATTGTTAGAAAATCTTTACACGGATAATTACAGAAAGAAGGAATATTCTACTTAACACAGCCATATATATTCGTAAATCCATATTATACTTAGTAATACACGCAGATCTATTTATTCCTTATTTAGATGTGATTATTCAGAAAAGAATAATGCAGCTAAGGCCGTGCGATTGTTCTTTATTGCGGCTAAGACTGCGCAATGGTTTTTAACCAGATAATTTGAATCACAAGATTATGTAACGTGAGAGTAAATTGAAAGATAACGAAATGAATTACATTCTATGTGAGATACAAGTGATTTAGATATAGTTTTGTATTGGAATGAACGTGATTTCTATAGAGATTTACTGTAAAAAATTCTTGGAATTTTATTGGAATTTGGATGTTGATTATTATTTTCACAATTAGCTTATATTTGCCTAACTCTGGCAAATATAATTTAGGTCGGAATTAGAATTTAAATAAAAAGTCCGATTCTTATCGATATGGGTATATACATAATCGGCAGTTGCGGGTGTGACTATATTAGTGTTCGGCACAATCAAATACTACATATATATATACCGTATGTATTGGTTAATCTGATCTCCGACTTAATCACAATATTTGACTATCAAATTTTTGTTTAATTGTGCCGAGCTAGACTATATCTAGAGGCTGCTGACATGTACTAGAAAAAATTAGCCATAAAGTTAGAATTACATTTTACTGTACGACATTTCTCAAGAAAATTCTAAAGGAAAAATTTGAGTACATACGTACATGTACGTATTTATGTACAGTACATACATACTTGTTATTTAATGGATATCGGTGGATACGGTGTATTCCACAGAATAATAGTAAAATCACGTGGCCGGAGGCCACGTGGTTTTACTATTATTCTGTGGAATACACCGTGTCCACCGATATTCATTAAATAAATAAGATTATTTTTATGACAAAGCGAAACCTGGTTATGTTTTTAAAAAATACGGATCATTTAATAAATAATACTAATACTAATAGAGTAATGCTTTTTATATGTGTGAGCGGAACTTCATTTCCGACAATGCCTAACACTAACGCCAACGGCCCAAAATATATTATTATTAAATTGAGACTTAGAACACTTCAGGATTTTACATCTCAAAATTATTACGTTATCCTCTGATATCTGATATATAACGCTAAATTTATCAACCAATACCGATACTGTAATACGTAGTTAATCAATCTCCTTAGGATAAAGTATGTCTAATGAGACGCGTCATTGGAAGCCTTTCATAGAATAGTATACATGAATAAAGTCAAGACTTGTAGCTAGGCATGTTATATTTATATAATTAAAAGCAAAAGATAGCTTCTTAGATCAAATTAAGTGATCAAATATTTGATCCTATTTGTATATATAATGAATCATATTTGATAAAATTTATGTTAGCTTTAGTAAATCATACTTTTATAAATTTTTATTTTCGCAAAAATAACGGGTTTGAAAAATTGGATCTTTTAAAAATAGCATATTTTGCTTTAAAAGCACTCATTGATGCCCCGAGATAAGAATCCCTTTCTTTCATTTATGTGATTTCAGTGCATTATGCATTTTTATGTACGAAAAATATAATGAAGTTGTTAACCCGTGATCTTGATATGGTAATTATTGACCAGCGCTAACAATCACCCCCCTTTGATTTGTACCCAGGAACAATTAAAAGAATTAAAATTACATTTACATATTATAATTTATATCTCGAAAAATAGTATCCTTATATTTTGGAGAATACTTTGGAGAACACCCCAGTTGATGTAAAACATTAAAGACTGACAAAGTTGAACGAAACATTTCAAGTCTTTGTAAATACCCGAATACATAGTCAACGGTAATATTACTGTATACCAGTAGAGTTTGGAACTAAAACCAATTAAAACCGGGCTTAACATGTGAAAAATAAATCTGGTTCCAAACTCTAATCTAGTCAATTGACTGATTTCTATTCATGCAATATACCTTCGAATTTTAGATACTATCATGGAATGCAAATCATAAGATTCTGATGAGCATTATTAAACCGGGAGATTTGTTTATTTGGGGCTTTTAGAGAAATTAATCACAAAGTTGCAAATAGTTATGTAAGTTGTTTGACATTTTAATGTTTTTGTTAAGGTTTTTTGTTGGTATTCGTGAAGACAAAAGTTGTTTATAACGCGTACAAAAAAATGCCAATAACATAAGATTAATCTGAGAAATTTGATTTAATTCATTAGGTAAAAATGTTTTAGCAATAAATCTTACATATATTTTTAATATATAACTTTGTTTATATTATACAAAGTATAAACATTCTTAGATGTTAAATATGTATGTACTGTACACTACAACGTCTATGTAATATTTATCACGTAGAGTGTAGGTTGAAGTATTGTGCGCGATTTAAAAACATCAATTTTTTTCAAAAAAAAAAAAAATTCTTTAATACTCTTTAATAATCAATACTCTAAAAAAACCTTCAGAATATTTAAAATTTCACATTAAAATAAGTCCGAATTTCAGCATTAGCCGCAACAATTTTTATAAAGCAAAAAAGAATTCATAGTCTAATACTATAACTTACGACAAGAATCATCAAACTACGTAATTAATGTTAATTTTTATATTGACTTTGCAGTATTTATTTATTTATTTTTTGGAAAGTTACCAAAAAAAAATAGAAATAGAAATTTTTAGAAATGCTTTATTATTAAATAAAGCATTTTTAAAAATTTTAACACTCATAAAACCATATTCGCAAAATTTTAACATCATTAACGTTAGACTGAGTGCATTATATTATTTCTATAATACTATACTATTTCATATCGATATATCGAAATAATATTAAGTTATAAATACCGAGATTTGTGAAATTAAATCCCAATTTAGTTTTGCAAGGATGTCAATTATTGTAATGCACTAATTAAAAAGCCAGGGATATAAAAACAATGTACCCAACAAAAAAAGAAAAGAAAAAAATTTTATAAAAGACGTGGGTAAATTATATTGTATAATAAAGAGTGTGTTGAAAAAAAGAACAATTTCAAGCGCATACATACTACATTCATAATGACCAAAAAAAAGTGCTTTTTTTTTAATTAGTACACTACAGTTCCATTTTGCAGAACATTACTTGTAATAAAATTTTATCTTCTTGGAGGTTATCTAACTAAATTAAAATTTCAAAAGCCGTTCTCTATTTATGGTAAAATTTATAGTGAAATTTTAATACGCATTATCTTGTACCGATATTTTTTTTCAAGTTCTCAGTTCGGTGCTGTACACTATTAAAATTATTTAGCGGCAAATTTTCTAATTTTTTCTCAATATCAAAAATTACATCAAAATGATTTTTAATTCAACAATTACAAAAATAATTGAGATCCCCTTAAAGTGTATCCTTTATTTAATGTAAACCTGCGTATATCAAAATCGAGTGTTTTTTTAAAAATTATTATCATTCTCTAATTCGTTTTTTAACTAAAGCACATAAATGCAATTATGTTAAATTTGGCATAAACTTATTAAAGAAAATGTGAAAATTTTTTTAATGTATAAAATGTTTATAAATACGCCCCCAGTTTTTTATCAAAAAATTAATGATAAAGTAATGTGCGTTTCTTCTTTACGTGTAGCAACATAAAACACTCGAATCGAAGAAAATTTTCCCTTGTTATCTTAAATAAAAAAAAAAAAAAGCAAAGTCATGTTTCAAAATAAATTTCTCTTCTTTTTTTATTTTGTTGTTACCTTCGTTTCTACTGCCAATGTAGTTGCCCAAGGATCTGGTAATACGCCTGTTTCCATCCAAGTTCCAATTACTCCAGAAATAGTTAAACAATTAGGAGAAATAATATCTGCTAAAGGTCCGACTCCTTCTATGGATTCGTCGCCTGCTAAAGGTATGAGTCCTTCTGTAGATATATCGACACCTACCGATCAACCTGAAAGTGAGGAGACTCCTACTGACAATCCTAAAGACAATCCTAAAGACAATCCTAAAGACAATCCAAAAGACAATCCAAAAGAAATTTCTAAAGACAATCCTAAAGAAATTTCTAAAGACAATCCTAAAGACAATCCCAAAGAAATTTCTAAAGACAATTCTAAAGACAATTCTAAAAGCTTGGGAGATTCATCTAATATACCCAAGGGTGCGACCAAACAAAATGTAGCAACTAATGTTGGTCCAATTAAAAGTCCTTCACCTTTACCGAGTAACGCGCCTGTTAGTCCATTACCTACTCCGCAACAAAATGTTAAAAATCCACCTCCCCCAACAGTCTCTCCATCTCCTATTGCATCCCCTATTCCTAAAGTTCCTTTACCTACTACTTCTCATCATTTACCATCAACTTCAACCTCAAAAATATCTCTTGCTGAACATACTTCTATTGAAAATTTCTTTTTTGTGATTTTTACTACATTTCTTTGTTTTTTCATTGGAAATTTTATTATTTTTGTTTAGATAATTTTTTACGTTTGAATCTTTTTTAATAAATTTACATAATTATGTTATAAAAAACTTTATTTCATACTTAAAAAAAACCATTTAGTATTCTTTTTCCTTGTTTAAATTATAAATAAACACAGCAAAATTTAAATTTTTTTTTTTTTTTTTTTAAGAAAATCTTTTTATTTACCATGATATAAAATTTCTTTTTTTTTTTTTATATGATTGTAGAGAAATTTGTCTGGTAAAATAAAAATTATTGATCTTTATTACATATATACTAAATATAAATATATATATTATGTTATTTATAGTCTGTTATATAGAAATAATTATATGAGGCAAGTATTTTATTTAAATCACGTGTGAAAACAGAATTTTTTTTAAAAAAAAAAGTCTGTGCCATACGGCGATTTGCTGTGATCACAGGAAACATGATTTTTTTTAAAAAACAGCTAACACAGAAATTGAAATTGACCTTGATACTAGTGCTCTCGATTATCGAGTTTTTGAATCTATCAATTTACAATATTGTGCATTAAATACAAAATTTATTTTTAGTATATATATAAATCTAACAGGAATCCGATCTTACTTTAGACTTCATGGTAACTAATATGAAGTTTAAAGTCAGATTAGAGTAAACATAGATTTTATAATTGAAGCACAATACTATAAATCGATAGATTCAAAAATTCGATAATCGAGTTTTTGTTTGATTTTGCCGAGCACTACTTGATACCAAAGAAATACACAAAATTCTAAAGAAATAACACTTAATCGCGTACAGAATTAAGCCAATAATGTCAGAAAGTTTCGGGAAGATGGGATAATAAAATAAGCACATTTAAATCACAGAATTTGCATAAGTTTATATTTGCCTTCCAATTTTCTAGTCGAAGTATAGGACGCGGCTCTTCTATAATCGTCAAAATTTTTAGCTTGCTTCTTAAAACAATTAGTTTTTTTAGTGATAAATTATATTTGCACATTTTATATTTAGGCACAAAAACTAACACTATTATCACAGAATATGTTCATATAATTTTCTTAACCATACTGTACACAGAATTTGGTCATAGTTGCAGTGGTGACTGGACTGGACTCGTATCAACTCGTGACTCGTGAATTAAGTTTTATTTGAGTAATTCGAATCACAACAATCATTACGGCGCATTTGCGAAATTAAGCAGACAATTTGTCACCAAATCCAAGCCAAATTAAATTTTAGTTACCGAATTATATATTAATCAATCAATGTTAAACCCTGAAAAAATTTTTTCGAACCCCTGATCTGTACTGATAACGCGTCCAACCCATCTTTCCCACATGCTAACCCATCTTCCCACTCCCAATTAGACATAAGAATTTATTAAATGATGCATCATAACTTGGGGAATGTTGATTATTTCAGTTAAAACATATATACGTATTAGTAGTCAAATTTTTTAAATTTTGGGGTATTTCGCAAATGCGCCGTAATGTTAATTCATAGGTTTTGTAAATTGCGAGTTACAAAAGCATACTTCAAATAACGAGTTATACAAAGCAAATATAATTCAAATGCAATTTTAAACTTCATGATTAACTTGCGAGTAATTAGTTAAAATTTCATGATAATTTCGAATTATTCGAGTCACGAGTTGACGATCCAGTCGCAGCAGAAAAACATCTTTTCTTAATTTAAAAATTTTTTCTTTGACATTGTCCCGTACCTTATTATCTTAATGATAAGAGCATATGGTCGGTTAAAATATTTTTACTAATTAAAACTTAATTTAATGACACATTTCGACTCATTGATTAAGGCGTTTGAGAATACTTTAGCAAACAAATAAATAGGTTTATTCTGAACAGCTATCCTACTTGACTCGAAATTTTAACGAAATCGGATAATTTTTTTACAGAGTAATTACTATAAATTATTGTATGTAATCAATTAAAGTCGTTTTATTGATATCTGATATAACTTATAGTATTCTATAAATTCAAAAATGATAATAAAATAACATATATAAATTTAATATAATAATGGTATTTATTTGAAGGCATAATTGGTGCCTGCCAATAAATTTTAAATTAAAAGGTGTATATTGCGACAAGTTCAAAAAGTTCACACTATTCGTCAAAAAGCGGATCCGACACTGGTTGACTTACTAGAAATATGTTTAAGAATTAGTTAGTTAAATCAACTTTTTATAAATACTGACTCTCGATAATATAGATGCTCAATATAGAATGACCAATTAAAACTCGATTCAATAAATCGGAATAAACGATAATAAAGTTATAATCAATGATTCTTGGATTTATCCATTACATATCGTGAGTCACTGTACATTAAGTACAATTTTAGGGACAGCGTTTTGAGAGATAATATTCTTACCTAGATTTACCAGTTTAGGGAGTTTTTGAAATTTCAGAAGCCGGCTTGTGTAAATAGCCTGCGGATGTGTCCGATAATTGATCCTTGCCGAGTTTACTTGATTATATGTTGAGAAATTTTTATCGGAATCTTTAATATCTCTACCTTTTTTACATAATTCGGTTGTTTCTATATTCAAATCATAAAAAAATTGTCTCAGTTTATTAACTAATTCCTCAGCAGTTGGTCTTTTATGAGATTCGGCATCTAAACATTTATTCATTAAATCCAAAAATGATTGTGGAACTTCACACTCAATTTTAGGTCTATAGCCTTGACAAATAGATAGTGCTAGTTTGTAATCATGTGGAATATCATGATATGGAGGATATCCAGTAAAAACTTCCGACATAATTATTCCGAAAGAATAAATATCTG